TTGTTTTCAGAATTCTTTATTGATCTTTCTAAAACACAATTATAAGATTTATCATTTAACATTTATATTATATTCTATTTATTTTCCATAACAACTACTATATCATTAATGATAATTCTATTGTTTGGAAATATTGCTATTCAATAAGAATTTATACATACTTTAGAAATGTTATATCAAATTCCAAAATAAACAATTATTAATAAATAGTTAGGTCGACAAATTAAACTTTTATGATTCATGTATTTTTTAATCAACTTAAAATAGAACTAATAAATTTATATCAAAAATTCATTATTATATATATATATAATTAATATTTATAAATCATTCTTAATCAGTTTCTTATGTTATAACCAGGTAATTATGAGGTGATGTAAGAGTTTTCTCAGTATTACCTTCTGTAGGTCTAAATTCTTAATAATAATTATTACATTTATTTATTTACTATTTTTTATTGTAACAATGTTGTATTTCTTTATGTTTTCCTTATAAACATTAAAGATGGTTAAGGTGCTCCTGGATCAAGACTTAATTAATGTTTTAATTTATGATTGTCACTTTCTCGAGTTAAGAAATTAAGACTAGACATTCTTTTGAATTAAGATTTTCTTTCATTTATTTACAGATTCAGATTTTCATATTACAATTTTTCCATTTTATTACGTTCTTCTTGTAAAATTTTAAAATCATTAAAATCTCTATTAAATTTTATATCTTGATTTTTAACCACAGTGAATCTCTATTATACTTTAGATAAAATTCCTCTCATTGAAGACATTTTTTCAAATTCTTATTTTCTTTTTCTTTCTTCTCTTATACCAATAATTTGATCTAGTAATGCTTTCCTTTATGTCTAATTTTCAAGAAATCTCAAGGATTAAGATACTTGACTAGGATCGAATGGATTTTATAGCATATCTATAGCTTTTGAAACCATAAGTTTGTTTCTTTTAAGTTTTTGCAATTGAAGTTTTTATGAAAAATTTTGTTTAGTAGAAGATGTTTGAGTTAAATAATGTTTAATCATTTTATAAATTAATGATTAATTAAAATTCATTAACTTTATATTTTATCTTCTTTGCTAAAATATAAAGAATATATCTAAATTTAATTATCTTAATTCAATCAAATAACTATTAAATTATCATAAATAAAGAAATATAGTTTTATAAGAATAAATTATTAATTAAACAACTTTTAACGACATTATTAAAATTATTAAATGTCACAACAACAATCTATGTAAAAATCAGCCACTTAATCAACTCTTCGAACTCTTACAGATTATGGAGGATAATAACGATTAGTCAATTATGCAAATTTGTAAAGAAATCTTTCTCCTCAGGCTGAATTATGTCTTGCAAAAGATTACAATTCTAAAATCAATAAATATGTGTATGTATTATTAAATATTGTAGAAAATAAGAAAAGGCTACATGTACATAACCATCTGAATGTGATAAAAAAACAATTGAAATGTGTAAAGAAAACTTAAATAAAATTGCAACTCTTTAAAAAAACAATCCCACACTCAAACCTAGTGACCCTATTACTTAAGAAAGTAGACCTTTAAATGAAAATAAGAGCCATATAATCAAAACTCCTTTAAGTGATGTAGATAATCTATGGAATTTCCATAATAATCCTATAGCTCCAAGATAAAATCCTAATTCAAAAGTGAATTATTAAACATAATAACCTGATTGGAAACCTAGTTAAAAAACAATTCAACCAGCTCCTGCAAAAACTAAAGATCTTTTTGAAAAAAGAGAACTCAAAATTGCTGAATTAAAACCTGCAGATAGGAATCCTATTTTAGAGGATAATAAAGGAAAGCAATATGGAAAACATGAATCATATGGAAAATCTGATCATTTAGAATGCAAAAAATTACTATCAAATGGATATGGTTAAGAATTGAAATATAAAGAAGAAGTAATATTTAATTATTTATTATTAGAAACATATGGCTTAGAAACCAAATTCATTTTAATAAACAGAAAGAACATTTAATTATTCATCTGTGAATTAAGGTGATTATAGAAAGAAACCATCAGAATTTGAAAATAAAAATACATTTTTTACTAGAAGATGAATAAAATTATGTATAACTATTATAAATATAATTTATTAATTCATTATTCATCCAAGAGACTAATTAACTTTTTTTATTATTGATCTATTATATCAATTTTAAAGATATCATTAAGAAGATCTTTATAACACTTTAAAATCACGATTAAATCAGCATCAATCGCTTAAAGAGAGGATGAAAGTGATTGTATTCTTACTAAATTTTCATTATGCATTTGTAAGCAATGTTCAATTTTATTTTAAATCTCTACATTTTAAGAGTCTTGAGTCTCTTTTAATTTATGCATGGTATTATTGATCTCGCTATATAGTTGGAAGCAATTACGTGATTTCTTTTGATTACTAATGTAAATGTGAAATCAAAGCCTTCTAACTCTCAGTAATTTCAATATACTACTATTGCAAATTGTTTGCACTAAATGACATAAACTTTTCATTAAGAGCCTTAATTGTTTTCTCTAATTTTTAATTATTGGTATTGTATTAATCTTAAAATTCTTTGGTCAATTTGACATAATTATCTTCATTGGTTCTGAGTCTTTTTTCCAATGCTGCTATCTTATTATTGTCTGATACTATTTACTATGAAGTGTTTGGAAGAATGACTAATTAAGAATGTCAATAAGAATTTACCTGAATTTTATTTTGAGGCTGATCTTCTACCTTAAGGACTTTTCATTTTATCTTAGGCACTCATAATACTGACATTATCATTTTAAGGCAAAGAGATTTAACTTTGATTGCGAAGTAATCCACTTGTATCATTATGGGAGTCTTCTTTTTTATTAATACTTTTATTTCCATTAGGACTATTTGGACTAGCTTAAAGATATTGTAATTTCTATAGATGAGAATTAAGTTCATTTAGATTGTCTCTATTATCAAGTCTCTCTTAAAATTCCGTCAATTTTGCTTCAATAGATATAATAATTTGTTTAAAGATAAGCCCACTTACATTATCATCATCTTTGAGAGAATTAGCCAATTCAATAATTTCTATTAAGCAGTTTTATTTAACTTTATGTTCTATAAGAACAGGTTAGATTAATAGTTATTTGGATGCATCAAATCCATTTGATTCATTGGTAAATTCTTTTTTTGAATTGGAAGTTTGATTCGTAAGATTATCTTTTGGTTTTGGTGCAGATTTTCCTGGTTTCCTTGTTGATTAAATCTATGGTTTCATTTTAGATTAAAGTTTTTATAATATATATATAATAAAATATATTTATCTAATATTCAATAAAACCACTTATATAAATATTTATTCAAATTATTCAAAATTAATCTTCTGTTATTTCATCTACTTCTCTAATTTAAAGATCTCCAAACACATTTTTTAAAGAGTTAAAAGGTTTCTTAGTAATTCCTTATTAATCTTATTGAGTAATTTATTTAGATTAAATAAGAGAACCATCATAAGGCATAACATCAATACTATTATCTAAATGAGCACCTAATTAAGTAAGAAATTTATTATTATTATTATAATGATTAATGTTATCATTATTAATATTTTATTATTCATCCTTCATTTCTATACTAATTTCTATTTTACCAATATTATCCATTTATTCTTAATTAGATAATTTATCTAAAAAATAATATTGATTCAATACTTGAAGAACCAGAAAATTAAAATCCAAAACTTTTATCTTACAATTCTTATTTAGATCCTAACCTACTCATAAGAGCTGTACTACTATTAATAGAATTCATTAATTAAATAAGACCACATTTATCTCCATGTCTCTAAATGATATGAATATCATTAAAACTTTTAACTAATTCATTTAACATAATTTCATCATTTTTATCATCATTTTAACTATTTTATAATTTCTATATAACATTTCCCCATTATTAATCATCTAATCTTAAACTAGATTGTAATGATCTACATCTACCACAATTATCTTATTCTAAATTTAATTTATTCAAAAAAGCCATCAAATCTTTAATAGTACAAATTTCAAAAAAAGGATGCCTTAAAGCAGCTTCTACAGTTATTCTCTCACTTTTATTTGGATTCAACATAGCCATTATTAAGTTACTTAATGGTTATTCAAGTGTATTTAATTATTCTTAAAATGTCCATTAATTTGGGTTAGCCAACAATTCAATAAAATCATGTAATTCATTTGAGTGCAATGGCAATTTTTAAAAAATGCATTAATAAGTAATTACTCCAATTGCCCAAACATCAATCTCTTTTGAATAACTAGCTTTATGATATATTTCTGGAGCACAATAAAATATATTTCCAGTTTTAGTTAACATTTCAATTTCTTATCCTTTTAATAAAAATCTTCTTGATACACCAAAATCAACAATTTTTACATTAGGAGACTAACTATCTTCTTCTAAATTAACTAAAATATTATCTGGCTTTAAATCTCTATGACAAATTCCTTTAGAATGTGCATGTTAGATTCCTAATAGTAATTGTTTAATCACAACTTTTAATTCTTCTGAAGTAAGAGATCGTTTTTAAATTATACTTTCTAAACTTGGAAACTTACAATATTCCATAACTAAATATGAAGTTTCCATCTTTTCATTAATATAAAGTTCTATATCTTGAGCAATGTTTGGATGTCTTAGACATCTAGTATTGTTGAATGTTCGTTTTACATTATTTTGAATTTCTTAATCACCTGATCTTACTATTTTTACAGCATATATCTCTTCTGTATTTTTTTTCTTTGCTGTCTTCACAATTGCATGAGCTCCTTACCCTATAAAAAAATATACATAAATTTTTATACCTAAAGTTAAAAGACATTAGTAATAGTCTTCAAATCTCTTAGACACTTCGAGTTCATCTATTTAAGTGACAGGAGCATCATCAGTAAATTCAATTTATGTTTTTAATCTATTCGCCATAAAAATAATTAACTTAAATGCTAAAATAAGTGAAGTGTAATGCAATTACAGTAGATCCATTTGTAAATCGCAAATCGATGACACCAAATCCTCATAATAGATCAAAGACTGATAGAATTAAGTAATAAAATCTTGTTTCTGAAAAAACAGCAGATACATTAACTTCATCAATCTCTACATTGCTTCATCCCTCAATAACTGAGGTTAAGAATTAAGGTGCCACTTCATTAAATGTAGATAAATATTTATACAAATATTTCACACCTTATAGAAGATTTTCAGAAAAAAAAAATGGAAATAAGAAATTATCTCCTTTAAATGATAATAATATTCCATGTAAAGTATCTAGTGAAATTGGATCGTTTCGTAATTCAGTGTAAAATATAGACAATGATTAATTTTCTATGATTTAATCAGGAACTTCAAATAAAGAACATTAAAATCAGACAAAGAAAATGTTTTGTAACTCTCAATAAAAACTAAAAACTTTAAATATAATATAACAAAAGAATAAATCTAATAAAAAATAAGAAACTTCAAATCAGTAATTGGTTTACCTTAATTAAGAATAAGAACAATTAGAAACTCTTTAGAATGAAGAAATTTTGATTTATCATCCTTTCTAAGAAGAACCAAAAAAATAATCATCAATTTAGAACTAATCATAAAATTCAAAAAAATCAATAGAATCTGATAAGGTATAAGATCAAGGCATTTTAGAATTATAAAAGTTTGATTCTGAAACAATGGACTGTTATGTAAAATAATTTCGAGTATAAATTAAAAAGACAATAATATTAAATTAAAATTAGACATCAATCATTAAATAATACTAAAATTCAGGAATTTAAGCAGATATTTAAGAAGAAATAAATTAATAAAATAATTACTATCAATAATAAGAATTAGAGAATATAAAGTTTAATTAGGCAAAGAGTGAAATACTAAAACAAGAGTAAGGTGAATCAAGACTCTCAAATCTTAATACTAAAAAAAGAAGATTCTAAATTAAATTTTTATTTCATTTTCTGATTGTGATTTTATTTATCATATTTTATTCTCTAATAGTATGATAATAATTAACTTCAAATTTAAGTGGTTTATTAATCATTACCCCAATTTTTTAAACTATGATTAGGGTAAGTTAAATATTAAAGATCAAATTCACTTACTTTTTTGAATATACCATTCTTACCTATTAATATTTTATATGTTATACCTTAATGAATATTCATCATTCCTTTGAATAAATTTGTATAGGCTCCAACCATAACACATACATCACCTGGTGATATGGCTGATTCATCCATATCATGAACATTCAAAAATGCACTCCCAGTCTCATCTGCAATCCAATACTTTGTGATTTTCTTATAAGTCTTAGTTATTTAGGTTTCAATTTTTTTTAATACAATGAATCTGATTATGTGGATTAATATACTTACTTGAATTCTAAGTTCTTTTAAGTAGGGTACATATTTTTGATTTGATTTTCGAATTTCTGCTTAAAGAGAATGGAATTGAGTTATTCGAACACTTATTAATTAATCATTTAATTATGATATATATTATATTAGGAATAGTTGCTCTAATCTATTTAATCACTCAACCACTTTTAGTGGTAATCTATTTCAAAATTAAGTATGGTAAACGAGTAATCATTCAATATGCTCCAATGTTAGGACTTCTTCGTACTTTAAGTCAATCAAGAGCAATCAATGGAGATGCATTTGAATCATTGTCTATACTGATAAAAAATAATAGAAAAGCAGACATATTAGTTACTAATTTATTATTTCGACCATTGATCATATTCTTAAAACCAAAATACTATCGAATATTCATGCAATAGTATTAAGATTATAGTAAATTCCCTATGATAGTCGATAAGAGATTGATATCAAAAGGAATGCTTATGGAAGGAGGAGCAAAGTGGAAATAATAAAGAAACCTTTTAGGAGCTCATTTTGAATACAACAAGCTTATTAATCTCATACCAATGATAAATGATGTTGCCTAAAAGAAATTAACTAATCTACCAAATTCAATATTTCCAGTTATGAATATAGCTTCATCAATCACAGGGGAAGTAGTACTTAGAGCATTTTTTGGAGAAGATATTGCCTAATTAAGTCTAAATGGATAAGACCCTTCATAATGCGTCACACAATTGATCACTAGATTTGGACAATTAATCACTGAATCTAAATTATTTTAAATAAAGAGAGCTTTACTTGAAGAAAAAGTTTTCAGTCTATTTCCAAGAAAAATAGAAAAAGATTTATATGAACTTAATACTGTTATGTTAGATCATATGAAAAAGGCAATTTAAAGTAGAATGGAAAAATTAAAAAATTGTAAAGATATTGTACATAAAGATTATCTTGATGTTTATTTAGATGTTTATCTAAACAAAAATGATTAAATGAATCCTCCTATTACAGAAGATGAAATTTTATAATAGTCTATTACACTTTACTTTGCAGGAACTGAAACTACAGCAAATTTAGTAACAACAGCATGTTATTTCTTGGCTGAGAATCAACATCTTTAAGAAGAAGTATATTAAGAAATTCTTGGTGTATTGAATGGAGAATAAATAATTACAGCTAAACATTTATAAAATCTATAAAAAGTAACAGGATTTTTAATGGAATGTCTCAGATTAAAACCAGTGGCTCCTATGTTGATATCCAAATAAGCTTAGAAGGATTTATATATTAAAGATATTTTCATAAAAAAAGGTAGAAATATAATAATACTAATCAATAGGATGGTATGTCAATTATATGGTATTATCTAATGCATAAAATAAGAAATATTTTTCAAATCCAAAAAAAATAGATATAACAAGATGGAAATCTGATGGAACTTTAAAAGATTCAAACATAGATCCATTTGCTTTTGTACCATTTTCAGCTGGAGGCAGAAATTGTATAGGTTAATATCTAGCATTAATTGAGAGTAAAATTGTTATATCTAAAATATTGATGAATTATAAGTTGAAATTAAATGAAAAGATTATAAGAACAGAGTGGATAGCTAAAATTACTTATGGTTTATCAAATCAAGATTACATAACATGGGAGTCAAGATGATTAGGTTGTTTAATATTTTATTGTTTACATTTTAATTACAAAAATTTTTATCATCTCTTCTAATTAAGTTATTATATAATTAATTATAATGAAGAAAAAGTCACAATATTATTCTGTTAGATAATATAATTTTGAATATCTATGAAATAAAATTATTATTAAACTTATATTATAAGTGCATGTTTTTTTGAATTATTTTTCATAAGATTTTGCATATATATTTCAGTGTGTGCTTTATAATTTTCTACTTAATTGATAAATAATTATCATAAATTTTAATGGATATTTAGATTTAATCAGAGAAATGTATATTTTAAAACACCAATATATATTCTTTTGGCCCTGCACCTAAAGCTGTTAAAATAAATAATAAAAGATTAAAAAGAGAAAGCAAAAGTTTAATGGAAGTCTCTTTTAAAAAGAATGATTAAATAATAATAGTTGAAAATTGGAAAATTTACAATGAAGATGTTAGTAACCTAGAGTAGCCTTAACCACCTATAAAAAAATTAAAGGAGACTAGCTGCACAGGGTGCAATATTTTCTGAATGAGAGAATGAAATTATTTTTATATAAATTTGGACTTTTTTTTAGAATTTACCTAAGGTGATTCTATTTTATGGGTCTGATTAATAATAAACACTAAAACTAAAACTTAAATAAATAAAAATTTTGAAATTTAATATGAGTTTCATTTTAAAAAACAATATTTAGATATGGATAATATAATTTTATAATTAAAGGGGATTAATACTTTCTCCTTTATTTAAAGTTTAAATAGTAGTTGAAATAATTTTGAATGTAAATTTATAATAAAATGAATATATATTATATACATTCTATAGATAATTATTTATTAAAGATAAAGAGTAAATTATCATTATATATAAAATACAAATAATATGTTTCAGGAATTAAATCTGTCTGAATCTGATTCATTTCCTCAAAAGAAAAGAGGAAGAAGCTAGAATGATCGTCAAAGTAAGATTTCATGTTTAAAGATAGTCTCAAGTTTAGAGAAGTTTGAGTTTTCTAAATAATACTAATTGTTTTTAGAATTTTATGAAAGTAGTCAGAATGTTCCAATAGACTTTTTATATCTAAAAGAATATTTTAATGTTGGTTTAAATGATTGTCCAAATGATGCTGAAATTTTCAAAATTTAAAAGAAATTACACAATCGACGTTTCTCTTAAAGTCAAAAAAAAAGTTGGAGTTTTGATGAAAAAAAAGTATTAGTATGGGTGATTGGTAAGTATTGTACAATAAAATAAAGAAATTGCAGATTTTTAAATAGTGATGATTTTAACGAAATTGCTTAATATTTATTTAGAAGAAATGTCGAAAACATAAAATAAAAATGGATTTCTATGCTAAAAACATCTTTAATTACATAGCCATTTACTTTAGAAGAAGATTAACAATTATCAATGTTATATGATAAATATAAAAATGATGAAAATAGATGGAAATTTATTGCATAAGAGATGAATAAAGTTAATTAAATCTACAGAACAAGTAAATAATTAAGAGAAAGATGGATAAATTATTTGGATCCTTCATTAATAAAAATTAAGGATCCATGGACAGATAGGGAAGATTTGGAGTTGATATATTAGATTTAATAAAAAGGAAAGAAATGGACAGATATAGCTAAATAATTGAAGAGAAATGAAAATCAAGTGAAGAATCGATATAATGGGTTATTAAAAAGGGATGAAGTAGATGATGATTTAAATAAATTAATTGATAAAATATTATGGAGGATTAGCAAATAACCTATAGAAGAGATTAAAAATCATAATTAAAATTAGCATAATTAAAATAATCATAATCAAAGTTTATTATTAGCTGTAGGAAATATTGATTAGATAAGCTAAGAGGAAACTTATGAATTAACTCCATGTATGGTTAATCTTAAGACTAATTAAATATATTTTACTCCAATTTATTTATTATAGGAAATCCTTTAATATTAATAATCAGATGTAAGAGATGAATTTGAAAAAATAAAGAGAGAAATGGAGAAATTTGAACCACCTTAATTTAGAGTAGCCTCTTTATCTATTATTAGCGAAGAATATTAAGTTCCTTAAATTTTAAATAATCAATAACATTTTATATAATCATTTTCTGATATGCCAAACTTTGACTCTTATAATTAACCTCCTTCAATTGATATTAAAACATATCTAAATCCATTTTATTCATTAAAGAATTTATAATAAAAATACATAAAATATCGGACTGATATAACATTACCAAAGAAAAGGAATTCTTTAGCTTGGAAATCTTTGCCTTAATTATTAATTTGTTGAATATTTTAATTCATAAGGTTTTATCAACAACTTACTAAATTAATATTAAAAAAATATTATATAATTTTATATTTGAAATCATTAGATATATTAATTTAATATATTTTCTTCATTAATAAACATTTTAGTTTTCTCTTCATTTACTTCAATTATTTTTCTAGCTTATTCTCTAAATTATTTTTTCTTAAACTAAACAAATTTAATGTTTTCTCTATATTATTTCATTAAAGTTATTTTGAATTCTTAACTATCTTCAAATAAGCGTTTTAATCTTTTTATTTATTATAATTGTTGAGTTAACTATTTATTATCTTCTCTAATTATTAATGCTTTAATTGAAACTTCATATTATTATTATTATTTTTCAGATAGTAATAAAATTAAAGCTTATTTAAGCACACTATTAATTAATGAATAACAATTAGCTAAATCTCTTTTTTTACTTTCTTTTATAGTTTGCTATTAAATAAAAGAAGAATATTTTTCTAATTCCTTAACTAATAGTTAATAGTCTAATGTTTTTAATTTTTGTAATTGACTAAAATATTATGATTAAATTTTTTCATTTAGAAAAGGTATGACTTTTTGATAATTAATGCTGAAATTATCTTTTAATACTTCTTAAATTAAGGATGAAAGATTTTTTAGTTCTTCTATTATCTTTAATGAAGCAGTATTATTCTTTTAGAGATTCTATTCTAATTTTTCTAATTATTCTGAGTTCTTATCAATATTTGCAGATATTTGATTAATTTTGTCATTATAATTTTTTCTTGTTTTTTTTAAAACATATTCAATATTAGCATCATTAAATATTAATAGTTTTTCTTATTGATCATATAAATCATCTATCTAATTATTAATATATATAATACTCGTTCTAATATGGATAAAAATTTCTTGAATATTTCTTCGTGTTATTCTGTACGCTCATGAACTTTATTCAAAAATGATGTTGCTGTTTGTTAAACATTGATATAGTTTTTGAAAATATTTAACGTAGTACCATAAAATGTAGTTTGCTCTGCTATAGCCACAAAAAACGATATAAAAATAATAATCATAATATTAAAATTCAAGATCTGCTCAACATTCAAAGTTTCCAGATCTAAATCATTTAATAACTCTATAAATTGACTAATTAATTGAAATAATGATTCACTCAAAGTCATGAATAAAGAAAATATAAATTTAATTTAAATGTTTCTATTGATTACAACAAACTTATCAAAATATGATATAAGCATAACTAAATTATTTAATTATTTCAGAAATAACTATTATATTATTAAATTAGATAAAAAGATTAAAAAGTCAACAATGATCATTTATTTATTTCTGATGAATTAATTTTAGTCTCCTAATCTATTAATATAAGAATGATTTAATTCTTACAATTTCTTATTAAAAGAATAGATATGAATAAATTAGTTGAGAGACATCAATAAATATCAGAATTATTTAGATCTAGAGTTAATGAGTGAAAATTCTATTTACAACTTCTTTAGAAAATAACTACTATATTTGATGAATTAATTCTGCTTGATTATTATAGTTTATAATTAAGTTATTTGGTTCTCAAGATATGATTATAGTAACTAGTATTTTTTATTAAAATTAAAGAAATTCTCATACTTTATTTTATGATTGGAATTCTAATTATAATAATATATATTTATACTTCTGTATTGTTTCATATTTCTTTTTTTCATTTAATTTAATTAATCATCAACTGTATATGAATTAATATACGACAAATGTACTATATTCTTAACTTCTTTTAAACATAATAATTCTATCATATTAAATTAGTTATACAGAATTAATAGGATAGTTAAAATAAAAATAATGAAAGTCTACTATATCAAAAGAATTTAGCATAATTTGATTAAGATATAAGTATATAATTTATTTGAATAAATTAATTAAAGATCTCAACTAATATAGGATAGAGTTTTAATATATTTTAATTAAAATTAGAATATAAAATAATATAAGTATAAGAAGATCAATCAGAAAATATGTATTAGATTATTATTTAAGTTTGAATAGATTAGATAGTNTTATTAATATATATAATACTCGTTCTAATATGGATAAAAATTTCTTGAATATTTCTTCGTGTTATTCTGTACGCTCATGAACTTTATTCAAAAATGATGTTGCTGTTTGTTAAACATTGATATAGTTTTTGAAAATATTTAACGTAGTACCATAAAATGTAGTTTGCTCTGCTATAGCCACAAAAAACGATATAAAAATAATAATCATAATATTAAAATTCAAGATCTGCTCAACATTCAAAGTTTCCAGATCTAAATCATTTAATAACTCTATAAATTGACTAATTAATTGAAATAATGATTCACTCAAAGTCATGAATAAAGAAAATATAAATTTAATTTAAATGTTTCTATTGATTACAACAAACTTATCAAAATATGATATAAGCATAACTAAATTATTTAATTATTTCAGAAATAACTATTATATTATTAAATTAGATAAAAAGATTAAAAAGTCAACAATGATCATTTATTTATTTCTGATGAATTAATTTTAGTCTCCTAATCTATTAATATAAGAATGATTTAATTCTTACAATTTCTTATTAAAAGAATAGATATGAATAAATTAGTTGAGAGACATCAATAAATATCAGAATTATTTAGATCTAGAGTTAATGAGTGAAAATTCTATTTACAACTTCTTTAGAAAATAACTACTATATTTGATGAATTAATTCTGCTTGATTATTATAGTTTATAATTAAGTTATTTGGTTCTCAAGATATGATTATAGTAACTAGTATTTTTTATTAAAATTAAAGAAATTCTCATACTTTATTTTATGATTGGAATTCTAATTATAATAATATATATTTATACTTCTGTATTGTTTCATATTTCTTTTTTTCATTTAATTTAATTAATCATCAACTGTATATGAATTAATATACGACAAATGTACTATATTCTTAACTTCTTTTAAACATAATAATTCTATCATATTAAATTAGTTATACAGAATTAATAGGATAGTTAAAATAAAAATAATGAAAGTCTACTATATCAAAAGAATTTAGCATAATTTGATTAAGATATAAGTATATAATTTATTTGAATAAATTAATTAAAGATCTCAACTAATATAGGATAGAGTTTTAATATATTTTAATTAAAATTAGAATATAAAATAATATAAGTATAAGAAGATCAATCAGAAAATATGTATTAGATTATTATTTAAGTTTGAATAGATTAGATAGTTTTTTAAGAATTATGTTTAGAATTTATTGAATTAAATACGTAATTAATAATGAACTATGATATAAATGTATTAATTATTTCATGATAGATAATATTCCTGTAATATTTTGCTCTAGTCTCTCTTTAATTGGACAATTGCTTATAGTTTTATTGTTTACTTATTCTTAAAAATTAAGATAAGGATTGATTCCTAGAATCATACTATATCTAACATTTAGTGGAATAATTTAAGTATTGAATTTATCAATTAGACTATTGGCATTTTATGTTCAAGTTTTGAGAATCCAAAATGTACTATATTTGCCACTTTTCGATTGTACGGTGGATTGAGTTCTCTAATATGGAGTTCAATACTCATTTATTCAATAAAGTATTAAAGAAATATTGAAGAAGATAATTGTTTATGGTACTTAGTTAGGATAGTAAATTCAAAGATACGAGATAGATATTTGATTAATTGTGTTCTCAGGAAAATAAATTTTTAGTATGTTCATATGGAATTCCTATGATATTAATGATATATCCCATAATAACAGCAATTATTTTGACTGAAAGTAGTACATAATACTGTCTATATTATCATTAAAAAGAAGATTCTTCATATTTAAAAGCATAATTAGATATTCAAAAATTATTGTTTTGGATTATTCCTATTTTTCTTTATTTAGGTTATAGTTTGACTATAATAAAATAAATAAAGTAACTTTTGGCTGAAGATGATGATAAAAAAGAATTGTATGGAGAAGTTAAGAAATTAATAAAATAAATATTTTTATTTCCAACAATTACTTTTATTTGTACTTTTAGTTTTACAATTGAAGACATTTAATCTCTATTTTCACATAGAGTAAATTATTTAATTAAAATAAGATAGGATCAATTTAAACAACAATATCATTTGTTTTCCTGAGTTTTTGGGGTTTTTTTAATTGTGTAGCTTATTTAAGTTAAGAACCTGTAAAATAATAGATATTAGAATGGATGAAAATGAATTAATAGAATTAATAATGTACAATTAATTCATATATTTAGAGAGTTCCAGATAGCTGAGTAGCTCCTAGTAGATGATGAATAAGGAAATACAAGATTGAGTATTGGAAGCTAATGTTATTATTACAATGAATCCAGAGAAAAAAGTTGTGATAAATCAGTATAAATGACAGAACCTCTATGAGAAATTTGTATTATATAATTGTATATTTTGTATGTCTGTATTCACCAGAACTAATAAAAATTATTAAAACTTATAATTTATGTAAAGTCACAAATCTGAGAGATCTTATTAAGATTTTCTTTCAGCAAATGAATCAGATTTTCTAAATACATATTTCTTATAATTGGTTGTAGATACAATTCCATAATTTGTTTGTTAATCAGAAGCAGCTATGAGACATTAATTAGGTTCCAAAATAGATATCTAATAATTATTATAATAGAAAAGAAGTTTACATATTAAGCCAAATAGATATATGTTTTCACTTTGTGATTTCAAATTAGAAAATGCCATGCAATTATTAAGAAATTAAATTTAGAAATATGATTTTTAAGAAAATGAGGAGTATTTAATCTATATTGATTTAGAAAGAAATCTGCTTAAACAAGAAGAAAACTTTATTAATCTTTAATTACTTCTTCTTTCTCAGATGATATTCCAATTTGTCAAATTAATTCTTGGGTCATTTTAAATGATATTAAATTAGAAGTGAAAAAAGGAGATATCTTATTGTTCATTGTTAAAATTAAAGCTTCTTCTTATACTCTCAATAGATTATAAACTCTTATTCAAAATGAAATTCAATATACAAAAGTACAAATTATATAAATAAAAGTCAAAACTAAGTGATTATATAACTAAATATAAGCCAAACATATATCCAATACTAATATTAAATGCTGATATTAATTTTCCTTATCAAAAACTAAATTGTTAAACATATTATATTGGTAAATAGAATCTAATGTATCATTTCTTCTAATAGTTGAGGATATAAGATGCTGAAGCTATAACAGAGGATGTATTTAATTAATCAATTATTTTAGTTAATTTCTAAATATAATATAAATAGAATGAGTTAGGCCAGAATCCTAGTTTAGAGAGAAGCCATAGAGTTTAAGAAATTGAATAAAAATGTTGATCTATTTAAATTAACTACTTTTGGAGTGGCAATAGCATTGGGGTTAATGTACTTTTTAAAGAAAAAAATTATTAAATGAGTTTATTTATAAAATGAATGAAAAAGACACTCTAAGTTTATTACATACCAAAAGAGAAAGGATGGCTTAATTACATTCTCAATAAAGTATATTTTCATTTTCTAATGGAAGTACGTAATAAGATTTTCGAAGTGAAAAGAAAGCAGTTTGTAAGATCAAGAAGTGTATAAGAAATATCAAAAATGTTATAAGACTCTTAATTTTTGAATGAAGGATTTACATCTTTATTGAATTTGTTAGAAGAAGATTAAGATGAAATAAATTTTGCATATTTATTGTTTTATTGGGGTATTTTGGATGATTTGGTTGAAGTGTTACATAATTATATGAAATTAACAGAATAATAATTAGTATGAATATTATATATTATTATATAGGTAGACTTAACAAAAATGATAGCTTTTATAGTAGAAAGTAAAGATGCTAGTCATTATTTCATAAATACTAAAGCACCTCAAATATTAGAAATTTTGTTAGCCAATCATAATAATTTACTTATTATTGAACATGTATTTAATGTAAATAATTAAGTGTATATTAATAATTGGTAATCTAGAGAAATATGAGATAAACAATTATTTTTTGACTACTGTTATTCCTAGACTCAAAAATTATTTATTTAATTTAAACCCACTTCCTATATAATGTTTAGTTAATTTCAGTTGGATGATAAAGAATCGTAATTTACCAAAATAAGAAGAAATCTAAAAGGAATTGATATTATTATAGAATGAAGAAATTTTATATGAAGCTATTCAATATTTAGAAACTTTGAATATTGATGCAAATTTAATGGGATATTTAATAATGAATGTGGATCTTATAAATGATGTTTAATAAGTATAACCTAAATTGTTACTTAATTTAATTTGTTAAAATCTAAATAAAGATAATGCTATAAAAGAAATTACAAATTTACTTAATAAATGTATGCAGATGGGTAAACTTATGATACTTTAATGTGCATTCAAACTTGCTTAAAATTATATGATTTAATCAGGAATGCCTTATTTTAATGAAATTGTTGAAAAAAAGGTTACTTAATTATTGATTATGTTTGATCAAGATAAAATGAAAAATTAAGGACTTCTAAGATCTATGATGTAATATTTAGAGACATTCCATATCTTGTATCCAGAAAGTAGATTTTCAATAGAATTTTACACTCGTTTATTAGACACAATACAAGTTAGTTATTTGAGATTATTGTCTATTGTTATGACTAGAAATTTAGACTTCATCTAAAATATAGCCAATATTGGAGTACATAAAAGAAGATTACAGGAACTTGCTAATAAGAGTAATGAAGCCAAAGAATTATTAAAAAAAATATATTTGTGATAATTAACTCATGATCTTAAAAATTAGATAACTCTTTTCTACAATAACAGAGCCTGTCTCAGGAGGTAGATAATGGTTGAAGTTCTTTCAAAATTCCACTGGGATACAGATAAACATTGAAAGGAGTTTGAAAAATGAAGCTGTATTCATATTTTATATATATCATAGACTGAAAATCTTAATTACTATGTTCGTTAAAATTATAAGACTTTTAATTAAGAATAGTTGTTTTAAGCATATATTAAAAAGGATTTGTAGTTTGAAATCTAAAAATAAGTATAAATGGAAGTATTAGAACGATTTGTAGCTGATTAAATGAATTTTAGTGAAAATATGTTAATAACATATTTAAACAAGGAAGCTTAATTGTTGCCAGCCTATTATTCTGTAATAGCATAAAACCTACTTTTAAATGGTCTCAAAATATTTGATTAACTAAATATCTATTAATAGATAGAATATATGAGATTATCTTTATAATCAGGAGTTTTACATCCAGAAATCCTTTAAAAATTCTTATAAAATCTAAAAATAGATGATTAATTTATAGAATCTTTATCATTACTTTAATACAGAAATATATTGACACTTTTTGAATATTGTTCTACTTCACCATATGATATGGGATTGTAACCAGGATTTATAGAATACTTGTTTAATAAATATATATAAAAATTAAGTAATTTTGAATTGGTTGCATCAGAAATTATGAAATATGAATTTTCTTAACTTATGATAAATAATCATTTAAGTTTTTTGACTGATGAATAGTACACAGAGATTAAAATTGCTTATGCTAAAATGTAATTAATGTAATCTATATTTAATAAGTCTTGAGAAGATGTTTAACAAAAATTATAATTTTATAGTACAAAGAAATTTGAATAGTAAAGATATTGCTAAAAAATTATTATGGATTTATTCACCAGATGATTTTAAATTAATATAAAAGTCTCTTAATTATTTAATTACAAATACAATATAATAAGGAGAATTTAAAGCTGATCATATGATTTATGCAATGCCATGTAATTATATATAATATATAAATTAATAGTATATTTTAAATATTTCTCTCCATAATTATACAATATATCATTAAAATAATGTCAAAAATAAAGTTACAATTACAAAACATAAAAGAATGATATTAGACAAATCATGTATTTATTAAATAGCAATGCTTTAAAAGGATTTCGATCAATAATGAATGATTAAACTATACTTGATGAAGTTGATATTTTTATTAAAAATACTCTTTCATCTTACCTAACTAATATTAAAGAAGAAGAACTATTGATTTTTGAAGAGGCTTTCAATCCAATTATGGAATAAGATGCAGATATTGAATTTAATGATGCAGAATATGCAGAAATCTTACCATATTATTAAAATAATAATAAAAATTAAGATACTCAAAATAATATTAGCTAAAGATAATTTATTATTAATTTAACTCAGAAATTTTATGCTTTATAAAATAATTTAAATAAAAATGGATTCTAAAGAATATCTTTATAAAAAATTAATAAGAAAGTTTCAACTTTAGAACCTATACTAAGCTATATTGAAACATTATATTATGCATCTATTATAATACCTGACTTTTAGCCATAAACAAGAGTATTTAAAACTCCACAAATGCTTAAATTTGTAAATAATCTCATTTATTTACCAAATTTATTAGAACATTTAGTTTAGATAAATTATATTTGGCCTAATTTATTTAATGAAGAATTAAAATCTATTATAATTGCAAATAAAACAAAAATAGATGAAGTTTATAATACTTGTTAAGATTGTTAAGAATTTATTGATAAAGTTGAAGGATAAATATAGAAAACTTAATTTGAGAGATCTAGAAAATAATAATATAGAAATAGAACCTATTAAGGTTTGTTATAAATATTCAATTTTGTTCGTCCAAAACCTCATATTAAATTATCTCCAAAATTAAAAAATCCACATTAAGAATATACAATAGAGGAAACATATTCAAATTAAGATAGGAATTTGTTTTGGAAACTATCATAAAGAAGTGATAATGTGATTTAACATACACATTTTAAAGAATTAGTGTGGTAAGCACTTAAACTTGATAAAAATTTATGGGTTATGAATTATAGTGATTTTCCACATCTAGTTGATTTTGCTTGTACAAAATAGAAAATAGTAGTCTTTTTAGAAGAGTATCCTCGTTTAATTAGAGGATTACATAAAGTATATACTGTGGAAACAGAAAGGGCAGCTGAGTATTTCTCTAAACTTGGATACCAAATTGTATTTATAGATTATAATGTGTATCATCCAGATACTGAGTAGTTATTGAACATTTTGAAATAAAAGTTTGTATTTCGTTATATTTGATTTAAATAATATTATGAACGAAATTACAATCCCATGTTCTAATTGTAAACAACCAATTGCAGAATCAAAACATATGCTCCATGAAACATATTGTTTACGTAATAATATAAAATGTCTTAAATGTGGTTAATTTTATGATAAAAATGATCCAGATAGTCATGAAGAGGAATACCACAAAAAAGAAAAATGTTAATATTGTTATTTAGAATTTGAAGGTCACTTTCAATATTATATAATTAGATTTGAAAAAACATAAATGTAATAAGAAACCAAAGTAATGTATTCATTGTGATCTTAATTTTCCACCTGATTAATTATATTAGCATGAAAATCAATGTGGTAGTAGAACAGAAAAATGTGACATTTGCAATACTTATATTATGATAAGAGAGTACTAAACTCATGTAATGAAGTGTAAACCCAAACCAAAACCTGAACCTACTTAAGTTTAGAATAAACCAACTTATTAAGAAATTTTTGATAAACCTAATTATAACAAACCATAAATAGACGATAGAATTGATCAATAGAAGTTTAATAGCAAAAAGGAAACATCGCAATAAGATATTTATAGTAAAGGCTAATAAAAATAATAAGTTCAGCAACCATAATAATAATAACAATAATAAACTAAACCTATAGGATCTGGATATAAATTTGGATAAGCAGCTGGAGAAGTTAAATCTTAATATCAACTTAAAGATGAAGAAAAAAATAGATAAAAAGATAATATAAGACCACCATCTTCTAATAATTAGACAGGTTCTAGAACTTAAAAGTAACCAATAACTTAAGGAATATAATCAAAATAATAAACTAGTTCAACATATAATTAAAAATAATAGAATAAAACTTAAAAAGAAGAGAAAACTCAATTTGATAATTAATATGAAAAACAATAGTATGAAAGTAGATAATCCTAACAATTTTAGCCATAACCATAATAAAAGTAAGTACCATCTGCTTAGAAAAGTTTAGAGAGTTATAAAAATTCATAAAACAATAAACCATAGTCTTAATCTTAAAATAATAAACCTGATTTAAAAAGACCTGATACAGCTATAGTAAGAGAGATATAAAAATAAATAGAATTGGAAGAATAATATGGAATTAGTTCAGAGGAGTACTTAGAATAATAAATGTATTATATGTCATAAAATGATAAATAAGAAAAGGCTCCATAACAGATTAAAAATAAAGCACCTCCTCCTTAACCTGTGGTACCAAAAAGTGTTCCTTAGAATTTTGATAATTCAGAATTTGATTTTGGTGATATTTCGGAGGATGATAAACTAATTTAATAATAAATAATGGAAAGTTTAAAATTTAATTAGAAGAAACGTTGAATAATATATAATAATTATATATATATATATATATGTAAAATAATATTTATTCAAATTAAATTAAGAAGGTTATTAATTATTATAATTACAAAATTACATTGTCTTATAGTCAACTCATTAGAATACTTTATATGAGTTTTATTTATGATTATAAATAATCAATTTGAAAATTAAATTGCGTTATCTAATAAATTTAGCATTATATGTTAACCATAAATGATTAATTAAATTTTTCATCAATTCTACATGTATGCCTTCAGAAAACATGCTGCCCTTAACAAGAAAAAACTTAATGCAGAATCGTTTTCGTTTGTGATGCCAAAATTAAATGTCAATTCAGTAAATGAAGACCCCACAGCTTCTCTGTTAGAGCAGGACAAATTGCCGATCTCAAAGAATTAGTTTGCAAATGAATCCGTAATGATGGGATAAATATGAAGATACTTAATCAATTAGAGTAGAAGGTGGGTGTGTAGAGAGAATAGCCATAGATAAATGTACAAGAATGGGGAATTTAGTTGAGTAATCATCTTAAATTAATTGATGATAAAAGTAGCAATTGGGTTAGGAATAAATATACAAAAAATGCAATTGAGATAATTAATAAATAGAAATTCTCTACAATAGAAAATGAAAAATCATAATTGTCGAATTAATGGATTCTAAGATTTTTGTAAGAATATTTTTAATTAATAATAGTTCTAAATTATCAGTTATTGAACCAACATCAAACTGGTTAAATTTATGGAGTATATTTATGTCAATTTGTTTATTAATATACTTTTACTTTCTTATGATAAATCTATATTTTTCAAAAAATGAAGGAGATTAAGAATGGTACTGGGATTAATGGAAATAAGGATATACAGGATGGTTAAATATGATTTATACACTTTGTATGACATTAGACATTTTAATAGAAATGCATGTATCATATTTTGAAAGAGGAGAATATGTAAAAAACAAAAAATAAGTGTACATAAATTATTTAAAAACTGGATTCTTTTTTGATTTTATTCCACTTTTTGTTTTATATTTATGTCTCATATCAGAGTAAGTGAATGAGTCAACAATAATAAGATATTTCTTCTTTTTTAAATTCTACAAACTTTCAATTTATGATTAAAGATTTTAGGAAAGAGTTTAATTACATAGAAAATCAAAAACTATATATTTAATATTTAAGATAATAGTTGAAATACTAATAATTGTATAATTGAATGCAGCTTTATTTTATCGTGCAGGAATATATATGTATGATATGAAATAAGAAGATGAAGAGAATTTTAATTGGGGAACATGGTTAGAGAATGATATGTTTAATGGTGATATATACAGTAAATCATTGTAATCATAATATTTCTTATCATTATATTGGTCTGTTGCAACATTAACAACTGTATCATATGGTGATATTACTCCTGTTAATCCTCTAGAAATTTTAATAAGTACAATGGCTATGTTAATAGCAATATTTTTATTTGCTTTAAATGTATAAACTATTTAAGAAGTATATTTGGAATATAAGGCAAGTAAGAAAAAGTTTTAAAAGTAATAAATTTATATTATAATTTAATAGACATTTAATAGCTATCAATAGATTCATGAGAGATAAATAGATATCAGTTTCATTATAAGCTAAAATTAGAAAATATTTGGATCATATATGGGATAAATAAAGAGCAAGAGAATAGAAACTAGAATAAGTTGTTATAGATTCATTAGCTCCATCTTTAAGATAAGAGTTAATGTTTGAATCTTATGGAATGGATTTAATTAAGATTCCTTGGATGAGTGATAATTTTACATTTGAATTTATTAAGGAATTATCAGAAGAATTAAGAGAAGTTTATTTTGCAGCTGATGAAACAATATTTCTCGATAAAGAAACAGTTCATGATGATTACTCATTTTATATTGTGAAAGAGGGTCAAGTTGATTTATTTATTAATAGTAGTAATGTAGCCTAACCTTTAGTTGCTCATTTAAAGAGTGGGGCTGTCTTTGGATAATACTCTTTTATTACTGGAGATGGTAGATAATGTTCTGCTAAAACTAGAACATAAACAACATTATATTAAGTTAATAGAACAACATTTATAAACACATTATTGAAATTTGAAGCAGATTATGAAAGATATTGTTAATTAAAAGATTTAGTTATGCTTGGTAAAAGATATGATTTATTAGTAAAAATTTACATTTATTTATATAGCAATTAAGTTGTTTTACTTGTAATTTATCAGATCATATGAGTAATTGTTGTCCATTAACACATTTTACATTTGAATCTTAAAAAAATATAATGGGTTCATAGATTGTTAAAAATGAATATAAATAATAAGATAGAAAAAAAGCAAAAAGGAGAAAAGCAAAATAAAAAAATATTATTGTAAATGCAGATGAATTTGAAATTGATGAAGCATAATTGAGTGAACTTAAATAATAATATGTTGAAAAACCAAATGATAGCTATGATATTGATAAAGTTCATAGTTTTAAATATTACTTCCCTTGTTAGAATATAGATTCCTTCTATTATAATCAAATGAGGTATCATATAATAAATAAATTAGAAATATTTCATTAAACCATAAGAAGTATTTTACACCTCCGCTTCGGCATTAGATAGTACCAAAATGATACAAATTATATTCTTAATATTAATTAATAAATATAAATGGGAAGTGGATAATGTTGTAAGAGTGTTGAAAGAATTGAAACTTTAGAAATTGATAATAGTCCTCCTTAAAATATAATACATTCTTCACCATTTGATGAGGCATAATAAATGGTTTCACTCTCTGATTCAGAAGAAGAATATTAACCTCAGAAGCATCAGTTTGGAGTTTTTAAAGAGAGAAAAAAAACTTCATAGTTGTCGACTGGTCCACAATATTCATTTTAGACAATACCATCTGAATAATAATTTTCTAATTTTATTACTTTTCAAGCTATACCATCTCAATAAGGAATTCATAATAATCTATTTTCCAAATTTCAAAAAGAAATGAATTAGTTTGCAAAAAAGGAAACCAAAAATTAAAAGAACTTGTAAAAATAATGAATACAATATTTGTTATACTTATATATATTATATATATATATATCAAAATTTAATCAAAATTATTCAATTTTAGATATTAAGAAATTTCCAATATTAATACCTGACTAATAATAATAAAAATAAGTATTTTAGTTTAACAAAATAATCATAAATATTTTATATAATATCTTAAAGCTCTCATTTTTTCTACTGAATTAGATTATTACATAAAATACTCTTTTATGTTTAATTTTGGTTATTATTTCAACATTCTCAAAAGTTTCAAAGCTTCCATTATATGATTTATTTGCAATAAAATTAATTCCTTTTATCCAATTCTATAATTAAGTGCAAAATACTCTTCACATTTTAAATTATTTAAATTTAAATTTAAATCTTCTTAATATGGTGATTTAAATCTAATTTATATTTTTTTAAATATACTTTTATGCAAGATAAGAAAGTAACTTTAATGTGAAATCAAAAACCTAAATTTCAAAATCAATTGAAACTGGTATAGTTAATAAAATTGAATTTGCATCCTATCCAATATAATAGGCCATTAAAAAGAGTCTTACATATATGATTAAATCTAAATCATTATTAAAATATACCTTCTTATAATTTAGATCCCTTCAACTTAATTTCTTTGCTTAATTGATTAATTGGAACTCCATTAATTTACCCATATTTTAGATGATTAAGATTCACTATATCAGTAACAATAATCTTAGAATATATTTAGTCATTCATAGGCATAGGTTCTGGATTGAGCCATAACTTAATATAAAATAAATTTAATATACTCTAAGATTGAATGAATTATACTTATTATTATTCATAGTAAATCCATACCATAATAATAAGAATCTATTGTTTCTTCGACCATAAAATGTATATATTTATTCTCCTTATTAAATTTGACCTGCTGTAGTAATACAAAAATAAACTTAATCATCATCATCATTATACCAATCAAAATCTTTCTCTGAATCATCACTACTTTCTGAACTATTTTAATCTTTCTCCAAATCTTCTTCAAAAGTTCTCTTTCCCTTAATTTATATAGTTGATTATGTCTATTTATATTAGGTATTCTTGGGAATAATACTGGTAATAATATCTTAACATTTTTGAGTATATTTTTAATCTAACTTAGTATTCTTTTCTTATATAATCTTAAGTTCTTTTTATCTTATTTAAGTGAGCTTATCTATCTTATCTTCATCTTCTGAATCTGTATCATTATCTTCTGATTAAGAAGATGATTCAAAATCCAATTCCCATGCTTATTTTTCTTTCCAAAGTTTTAATACATTATAATTTATTTAATTAATTTTATCTCTTGTTGTTTAACCTTCAAATTCATGAACTAACAATTATTTATTTGTTTAAATATATGCTTCTTATGTATTTCTAATTTAATATTTTGGATCAATTTTAAAATCAAGTTCTAATAATTTAAGATCTATTCTTTCTCTTTTAAGAGTGTATCTATTATTTGGTTAACCATTTTATTCAATTAATCTATTAACTAAATGATATGTAGCAGGATTAATATTAGAATGATTTAACATATCAGCCATAGGTACTAAACTTGTAGATGGTAATGTCCAACCAAAACAACGAGTCATCACAAATTCATTACTCCAATAAAACATGTCTTTATGTTCTTCAGTTAAACAACCATAATATTGAGGATATTTGTTCATTACTCCTTTAAATTTGTACCAAGATTTATCCATTTCAGATTATATATACATAAATTCATCAATTAAGGATTGATCTTATAAATTGAATAGGTCTCTATTTCTCCATTCAAACATAGTATGTTGTTCTACTACATTCAAATAAGGATACCAAAATGACTTTTCTCCTTATAATTTATGATAAAATATGTAAAGTGCTATAGGGTACAACTTATTTCATACCCAAACAATTGAATTCAGCATCTGCAGTGATCTAATCATCAAAAAAAGGTTTATGAGCCTTAAACATATCACTCAATTCACTTTTCAATACTTTATGATGACTTATGATTAATTTGTTAGGTATAGCAATAATTACTTTATTAGCGGCAATATTCATTTTTGCACTAATACCAGTATAACCTTAAGCTCCAAATGCAGATGGATATTAAACTTCATCTGATATCAATGCTCCATTTTCTTTGCACCATTTTATGAAATGAATGTATTTTTCTTAATTGCACAATTCTTAAGTTTTTTATGAATTAAACATAATTTATTTAAATTTTACAATTTATTATAAAATTTTGTTTTTATTTATTCATTTCAATAATGAATAAGTAAATAATTCATTTAAAGAATAAATATATAAATATTATGATAATTTACATGAAATTGAATTGAATTGATATGATTTTAAAATAGAACCAAAATTATCAACTAACTAAAAATTGAATTGTCTATTAATTTAAAATAAAAATTAAATAGTTTAGAAAACTTAAAAATGTATATTTTCTTATTAATTAAAACAGTTTTTAATTATATATAAATTAAAAAGTACAAGATATGTAGACAAAAGAGGATGAAGATGGAAAGAAAACTAAAAGTGTAACATTTTGTTTTGAGAAAAATATTATACATTCTATTTACAAATGTCCATCTGAGTATTTAAGTAAGAAAAAGAAAAAACAATTAAGCAGAAAAATCTCAAGTTCAATTAAAGGTAGATGGTATGATGATTAAACTTCCTCTGATGAAGAAACTAGAAACTATTCAGATTTAGAAGATTATGAACACTTCTATAGCATAATTGAATGGAAAAATCTACAAGAAGAATCTTCATAAAAAATGACATCTAATAATTTGAATGTTGTTATAAATTCAAAAAATTACAATGATTTTAAAAATGGAAATATAGAAAATCCTAAATCATGTCTCAAATAGATTAAAAAATTAGATATACTTACATAATTTGATGAATTAAAGAAATAAGATTAAAATGATGATTTACAAACTGAAATTAATTCTGAAAAAAATTTAAGTAAAGAAAATCTTTAAAATGACAAATATATTATTGTAAGTAAATTTAAAGAACATGATGATGAAGATGAAGTAACATATTTAAATTAATCATAGATATCTATTAATCTTGATGATTTGGATGAATTCTAATGTAATTATAAAGAATAAAGATCTTATGAAAGATAGGATATATCAGTTTTTGATTAAGTAATAAAAAAAATAGATTTCAAATCAGCTTTTAAGATTATTGATATAGTAAAATTATATGAAAATATATGAAAAATAAAAGTTAAATAAATTTTTCTTTTTGTTTAATTTTATTACTATTCTAATTGAAGCAATTGTAAATAGAGATTGCAATTTATTTATAATAACACTCAAGTAGATTTAGCCAAAACTTCATATTTATTCATTTCCTATTAAAGAGGTTTCATAGTTTCATCTAAAATTTTCATTTATTCTTATATGTTATATATTTTTACAGTTATGGCCTTACTTCTGTCTACAATAGTCTAAAGTCCTTAATTAACTTCATCTAACTAAAATATAATTAATATTGAAAATACATTATTTTAAAGCATAGCTTATTTAGAGATTATCTTTTCTCTCTCTGATTAAAGTGATCCTACTTTTCTTTCAAGTTCTACTAATTCATTTTTCAATTCTTTAATTTAAGTATTTAACTATTATTTTTCTTATTCAAGGATATCACATCTAAGTTTATACATTTTATATTGATTAGTGAATGCATTTTCTTTAGGTAAGGTAATATTTTCTTAAACTGCCATTTATTATGTTTATTTTGGTATTTATTATTTCTATTCAGCAAAGGTGCATATTAAANTACAAGATATGTAGACAAAAGAGGATGAAGATGGAAAGAAAACTAAAAGTGTAACATTTTGTTTTGAGAAAAATATTATACATTCTATTTACAAATGTCCATCTGAGTATTTAAGTAAGAAAAAGAAAAAACAATTAAGCAGAAAAATCTCAAGTTCAATTAAAGGTAGATGGTATGATGATTAAACTTCCTCTGATGAAGAAACTAGAAACTATTCAGATTTAGAAGATTATGAACACTTCTATAGCATAATTGAATGGAAAAATCTACAAGAAGAATCTTCATAAAAAATGACATCTAATAATTTGAATGTTGTTATAAATTCAAAAAATTACAATGATTTTAAAAATGGAAATATAGAAAATCCTAAATCATGTCTCAAATAGATTAAAAAATTAGATATACTTACATAATTTGATGAATTAAAGAAATAAGATTAAAATGATGATTTACAAACTGAAATTAATTCTGAAAAAAATTTAAGTAAAGAAAATCTTTAAAATGACAAATATATTATTGTAAGTAAATTTAAAGAACATGATGATGAAGATGAAGTAACATATTTAAATTAATCATAGATATCTATTAATCTTGATGATTTGGATGAATTCTAATGTAATTATAAAGAATAAAGATCTTATGAAAGATAGGATATATCAGTTTTTGATTAAGTAATAAAAAAAATAGATTTCAAATCAGCTTTTAAGATTATTGATATAGTAAAATTATATGAAAATATATGAAAAATAAAAGTTAAATAAATTTTTCTTTTTGTTTAATTTTATTACTATTCTAATTGAAGCAATTGTAAATAGAGATTGCAATTTATTTATAATAACACTCAAGTAGATTTAGCCAAAACTTCATATTTATTCATTTCCTATTAAAGAGGTTTCATAGTTTCATCTAAAATTTTCATTTATTCTTATATGTTATATATTTTTACAGTTATGGCCTTACTTCTGTCTACAATAGTCTAAAGTCCTTAATTAACTTCATCTAACTAAAATATAATTAATATTGAAAATACATTATTTTAAAGCATAGCTTATTTAGAGATTATCTTTTCTCTCTCTGATTAAAGTGATCCTACTTTTCTTTCAAGTTCTACTAATTCATTTTTCAATTCTTTAATTTAAGTATTTAACTATTATTTTTCTTATTCAAGGATATCACATCTAAGTTTATACATTTTATATTGATTAGTGAATGCATTTTCTTTAGGTAAGGTAATATTTTCTTAAACTGCCATTTATTATGTTTATTTTGGTATTTATTATTTCTATTCAGCAAAGGTGCATATTAAATTTTATAAACTTAAGTTAATTGCATGTGCACTTATTTTTGATCTGCANAATACAAGATATGTAGACAAAAGAGGATGAAGATGGAAAGAAAACTAAAAGTGTAACATTTTGTTTTGAGAAAAATATTATACATTCTATTTACAAATGTCCATCTGAGTATTTAAGTAAGAAAAAGAAAAAACAATTAAGCAGAAAAATCTCAAGTTCAATTAAAGGTAGATGGTATGATGATTAAACTTCCTCTGATGAAGAAACTAGAAACTATTCAGATTTAGAAGATTATGAACACTTCTATAGCATAATTGAATGGAAAAATCTACAAGAAGAATCTTCATAAAAAATGACATCTAATAATTTGAATGTTGTTATAAATTCAAAAAATTACAATGATTTTAAAAATGGAAATATAGAAAATCCTAAATCATGTCTCAAATAGATTAAAAAATTAGATATACTTACATAATTTGATGAATTAAAGAAATAAGATTAAAATGATGATTTACAAACTGAAATTAATTCTGAAAAAAATTTAAGTAAAGAAAATCTTTAAAATGACAAATATATTATTGTAAGTAAATTTAAAGAACATGATGATGAAGATGAAGTAACATATTTAAATTAATCATAGATATCTATTAATCTTGATGATTTGGATGAATTCTAATGTAATTATAAAGAATAAAGATCTTATGAAAGATAGGATATATCAGTTTTTGATTAAGTAATAAAAAAAATAGATTTCAAATCAGCTTTTAAGATTATTGATATAGTAAAATTATATGAAAATATATGAAAAATAAAAGTTAAATAAATTTTTCTTTTTGTTTAATTTTATTACTATTCTAATTGAAGCAATTGTAAATAGAGATTGCAATTTATTTATAATAACACTCAAGTAGATTTAGCCAAAACTTCATATTTATTCATTTCCTATTAAAGAGGTTTCATAGTTTCATCTAAAATTTTCATTTATTCTTATATGTTATATATTTTTACAGTTATGGCCTTACTTCTGTCTACAATAGTCTAAAGTCCTTAATTAACTTCATCTAACTAAAATATAATTAATATTGAAAATACATTATTTTAAAGCATAGCTTATTTAGAGATTATCTTTTCTCTCTCTGATTAAAGTGATCCTACTTTTCTTTCAAGTTCTACTAATTCATTTTTCAATTCTTTAATTTAAGTATTTAACTATTATTTTTCTTATTCAAGGATATCACATCTAAGTTTATACATTTTATATTGATTAGTGAATGCATTTTCTTTAGGTAAGGTAATATTTTCTTAAACTGCCATTTATTATGTTTATTTTGGTATTTATTATTTCTATTCAGCAAAGGTGCATATTAAATTTTATAAACTTAAGTTAATTGCATGTGCACTTATTTTTGATCTGCAAAGACTGCATTTTTGAATTCTTAATTTTGTACCATCTAAAACACAAGATTTACAAAATGAATGTCCACATGGAAACAATAATATGGGTGAATATTAAGGAGGTACCATCAATTCAAAACAAATTGCACAAGTTTGTTATTCTACCATTTCACAAACTTTGCTTTCTAAATTATTTTTGCTTTAACTTCCAAAAGCTCTTTCTGCAATCTTATATGTTAATTAAGCCAAATAATCTTAATTTTGATGATCAATTCTAAATAGATCATTTTATATTATGAATACCCTTAATTATTAAGTATTTTCTTTAATTCTAAGGAGGCTTTCCAATTTTGTAATGATTAAAGTCTTGCTTCATTGGATGCCATTATAGTAAATATTTATATTTATTTGTATTTATTATAAAATTTGGATTGTTAATTGAATTTAAATCACAATAAAAGAATTGTATTATCGATAATATCATTATAAATGTACATATGATTTATAAATTATCAAAATTTATAATATTTGATATAAAAAAGAATGTCCTTTGTTTTTTTTAATATTTTTAATTAATTAAATTAACAGTTCGAAACATTAATTATTTTGAATTTTAATATGACTACAAATATATAAGTGATATGTCGATTTAGACCTCCAATATCTGGATAGGTTGAAAGTTAAATCTACTTTGCAGATGAAAAGAGTGTTCTTATAGAAAATCAACAATTCAATTTCGATCATATATTTCATCCAGGAAAATAAATAGATGTATTTAAGGTGGCAGCTGAACCAGTAATAAAAGGAGTCTTAGAGGGATTTAATGGGACTGTAGTAGCTTATGGTTAAACTGGATCTGGAAAGACTCATACTATGGAAGGGACGACTGGAGATGATTAAGGGATAATAAAAAGAATGGTCAATACAGTGTTTGATTATATAGAAGCTAGTCCAGATTATGTAGAGTATCGAATAAAAATATCAGTGACTGAATTATATATGGAAAAGGTAAGAGACTTATAAAACATAAAAAAAACAGATCTAAAAATTAGAGAGGATAAAAATCATTCAACATATATTGAAGGAGTAACTGAAACTTCAATAGCAGATTAATCAGAAATATATGATATATTAAAAATGTGCAATGCTAATAGAATGATAGCAAGCACTAATATGAATGAATAATCATCTAGATCACATATGATATTTTTAATGACAGTATAATCAATAGACTTAAGAGATTAATCTGCTAAAACAGGTAAACTATTTTTAGTGGATTTGGCGGGTAGTGAAAAGGTATCAAAGACTGGAGCAGAAGGGAAAATTTTAGATGAAGCAAAAGGAATTAATAAATCATTGTCTGCTTTAGGTTAAGTGATTAATGCATTAACAGATGGGAGTTAACATGTACCATATAGAGATTCAAAATTAACAAGAATATTATAATGTTCTTTTGGTGGTAATAGTAGAACAACACTTATTATAACATGTTCTCCTGCTTAATTTAATTTGTAGGAGACTCTTTCAACTTTAAGATTTGGAGTAAGAGCTAAAGCAATTAAGAATAAGCCAAAAATAAATAAAGAACATACTGTTGAAGAATTAAAAATGATTGTTTAAGAGAAGGAAAGAGAAATATTATTATTATAGGAATAATTATCATAATTTAAAAAAGGTATAGTGATAAGTGAAGAAGATAAGGAGATTTTGAAAGATATTTAAGAGGATATTAATTCTGATGTTCCAAACAATAATGAATAATTATTATAAATGTAATAGATAATGGCAAAATATGAATAAGAAATAGAGATGTTTAAATAATCTCAATTTATAAATTAATAGAAGGAAATAGAATTAAGAAATTAATTAAGAATAAAAGAGGATGAAATGTAAGAAAGTAATTATTATAATAATATAATTAATAGAGATTTAAGATTATGAACATCAATATATGAGAATGGAAACTGATTATTAAAAAAAGTTATCTAATATTCAAAGAACTTTGTCTTAAAAACTTGGTTAAAATGGAGATAAAGACATTTTTGAGGATGATTAGGTATTGACTCTTATTGACAATTATGTAAAAGATAGAGTTACTTCTAAATTAAAATAGATTACTTATTTATATAAGAAACATCATAAGGATTAATTAAATGAATAATTAATGGCTTTTTTGACAGACGATAAAAAGGAATTCAATATACAAAGTAATTAAAAAAATAATATTTATTTAGATGATTAATTGGCTGAATTACATACATAAGTAGCTTAATTAAAGAAATAGAATTTGGAATTATAGACTGATAATACTAGTTAATAAGAACTTTTAGAAACTTTAGAAAAGACTTAATCGCTTTTAGATGCTGAAAAAGCAAAGTCATTAAAATTAGAGAATTAATTAGCTAAAAGTATAAATGATGAATATTCAAATAGATATTAGGAATTATGATGAAAAATGCAAAGAATTAAATATTAATATTGAGAAAATGTTAGAAGGAGTACATTAAGTGATTAGTGATAAATAAAAGTATTAAAGAGATTGTTAAAGATTAAAGAAATTGATTGATGATAGATAACTAAAAATCTTTGTACTTTTAATATTTAAATATAAATTAGAAATTATCAGAAGAAGTAAATAGACTTAGTGTAGAAAATTAGAAATTGTTTGTGAAATATGATTAATTAAAAGAATTACAAAGATTGGAAAAGAATTCCTTATTAGATACATCTGAAGTTAATTCTTCATTTAGACAAAACAAAAAGATATATAAATGTTTGAAAGGAGGTACCAAAAATCCTATAACATAATAAATTATAGGTAAAGAGAATGTTTCAGAAGATGAAAAATGAATTAATTTACTAATATACATTTTATAAATTTAATTAAATAACGAATGTCTAATGCTATAATAGGTAGAAAAGTTGATAAAGAAGTACTCTTTAATATTGATGGATAACCAATTAATGATGGTAATAATTAATTAAATGCTTAGATGTTAAAGTATTAAAGTTTGCAGCCACTCCATAACCATAATTAGTTAAATAATCAAAAGAGTCTGTTAAAAAAGAAAAAACAAATAAGTAATAGAATAATTAGAATAATAATTCATCATAGAAAACTATACCTAAAAAGTCTACATAAATTCCAAATTCAAAAAAAACAACGGAATCAAATAAATAATAACCATTAAAATAATCATAAACTGTATTTAAAAATGTTACAAATCATCCAAAATAATCATAATTATCATCACCTGAATCTCAAAAATCACCATAACAATCTCCTAAATATAAATCACCAATAAAAAGAACAGAAGCTCCATATAGAGAACCTAGATAATTTAAACCTTTGAGTGAATAATTTCCAAATTTAGTTGGAACATTATTTGAATAAAAGAAATTTACAGAAGATGTAGATGATGATGATTCATAAACAAGTGGAACTGAATCATATATCTCAGATAGAGAATAAGGAGATGATGAAATTAGATAAGCACCTTAACCAGAATAATTATAAAGAAATTTAAGTAAAATTGTTTCAACTGAAAACAATAAAAAATAAGTTTATTCAAAAAAAGAAGAAGCTGAAAGATAGGAAAGAATAAGATAATAAAAATTGTAATAAAGAGAAAGAATGAAAAAATATGGTAAATAATAAATTGTTAGAGCTTAAACTTAAAGAGAAGATTGTGAATAAAAATTTGCTTGGGGAGTTAATTAAAAAAAATTATAAGATGAAAAAATTAAATTTATAAAATTATAAGAAGAAAAAGAATAAGAAAGATTATTAAAGATTTAATAATAAGAAGAAGAAGAAGAAAAAGAAAAACCAAATTAAATTAATTTAACTAAATTATTTCCTGAAAGTTAAGATAGAGAATCTCGTTATAAAAAAATGTGGATAGAAGAAGCAAAAAAATCAGTTGATAAAAAATAATTTTCATTATCTTAAAGAGATAAAACAAAGTCTCCTATTAAATGTAAGACTTAAAATTCATCTAAATTAAATTAAGATTTTTTTGAATAAAATGCTAAAAATATTATTCATGAAATTAAATAATAAAAAAAATAAAAACAAAAAGAATCAATAATAAAAAAACATAAGATTGACTATATTAATAGACAAGTTAAAGCTATATTTTCATCAATGAAAAAAAGAAAATGGACACCAAATAAAGAATTTGACAATAAAGTTGGACCATCTGTTAGTTTAAGTAGAATTAAGTAGAAATAAGATGATTTAGGAGTTAAAGAAATGTTTGAAGAAGCTGAAAATGAAGCAGAAGATCTAAATGAATAAGGAATTATTAAACATTATTAATAAAAAGTAAAAAATGGAAAAGTTATGACTACAAGAGAAGTTAGAGAATTTAAAGAAGATTAAGAAAAGAAATAGAAAAAATTATAAAAATTTAAAACTGATCTTAAAGATAGAAAAAACATTACTTTAAAGAATCCAGAACCATTAACAGAAAAAGAACTCAAAGTAAAAAGAGAAATGGGTTAATAAATAGATATTAAAGGAGAAGTGGAATAATAAATAAAGAAATCTTAAAATAAGGAACCTAGAAATCCTTAGAAAGCATAAAAGACATCTATTTAAGAACCTGATTTAGGAGAATTTATATTTGCAGAAGCAGAATTACCTTAATATAAAGGAGATTATGAGGAAGAATAAAGAATGGGTTATAGAGAATAAATTGAATTGGAAATAAAAGATTAAATTCTTATGTAGAAAAAGAAGAGACCAGCTGTAAGAGAGGTTTTGTAAGAGAAGCCCAGATAAGAATATGCTCGTAAACCTTAAGAAAGAGAGAAAGGTCCAAAATACAGGAAAGAGCAAAAGTTTGTAAGTTAGCCTAGAAATCCTGTATTTCATGATTTAGGTGATGTATAATTATTGGAAGATGATATGTTCAATGCATAACATTCCAAATGGACTCCTTATGCTGGAAAATTAATTGACAATAGTAGTGATGAGGAAGATGACAGAGATTTCTTAGACAAAACTACAATTTAATTGAGATCAAATCTTAAAAAAGGTAAAGAAAATGTTGGATAAAAAACATATTCAAAATCAGTTTAGGGAAAGAAAAGTGTTAATTTTAGAGAACCAGAAAGTGAAAAAAAAGATTATGGAAATCAATATATTATAGAATAAAAGGAATAATTAATGAGAATAGTTTAAAAGTAATTTATAGATTAATAATATATAGTTAAAAATCTAAAGGATAAATGACAAGTGATGATGATTCAGATGCTGATTTCTATAAAGGTTATTCATCATAGATTTGGTTAGCAACAGATCCTATGAAACGTGATGTCTTTATAATGTCATCGAAAGAATTAATGGATTTACCACATATATAGTTATGAATACGTTTTTATTATACTATTTTAATTAATGAAATTTTCATATGTTTTAAGTCTATACTTAGTAATGGTAGTATCAGCCACTATGAAGGATTCAAAAACTATTTTGACAGAAATTGATACTTAACATACTGGAAGAATATTTTTAAATGCAATTTAAATAGGTTTAACAACAGGATCACCAGTTCATGAAATTTAAAGTTATATTAATAATATTAGGTATTATGATATGCTTTGTTTATTTAGATTTATGATTGAATAAGAATAAAAAGATGCTGATCTATTTATATAAAATACAGAAGCTTCATGTAGTAGATTATTACATGATTTTGCTACTAATTTAGCTTATCATTAATAGTAATTTAAAGCTCATTCTAAAATAGTTGAAGTAAGAAGTTTAATTTATAAATAAGGAAAACTCAAGGAATTTAGAACGTTCTTTAAATAAAATTGCAGAAGTATCTGTGGAAATTGAAGAAAACTTAAGAAAAACAAATGAAGGGTAGAGTGAAAGAGATCTTTAATATTCAGAATTTTAATCAAAACAAAAAGATCACATAGAATCAATTTCTTCTATTGATGAAGCTTATGCATTAATTGAACATTTATCAGGTGGATCTTCATTTATATAAGTTAAAAATAGATTTACTAAAGTACTCTATAGATTATAAAAGTAATTTAGTAATTTAAAATTGTAGTTAATCTACATCAACTGGATTATTGTTTTAACCAATCATATCAATGATGACTTAAATGAATTCAAGAGCTGATGTAGATCAAGCAAAGAAAGTATTACAATTATTAGCCAACTTAAGAGTTCAAATTGTAGAGAGTAAATCTTAAGATGAAGACATTGAGAAATAATAATCTTAAGGTTCTAATTAATGAGAGAAACACTCTAAAGGATTAGAGATAGAATTTAGAATAAGCAATTTTAAATTATTAGAGTATAATAGAAGAATCTGAAGGGAAGGTTGAATATCATTAGGGTGAAGTAGAGAGAAATTAAGTAAATTAAATTTATTTATATATTTAGAATAATTTGGATGGTCAAGATTAATGGTGTAGATAATAATAGGAAATATATTAAATGGAATCACAATAAAGAATTTAATCACTTGATTTGATTTCAAGAATAGTTGATCATATTTAAGATAAGATTGTTACTCTTAAGGAATATTTAAGAGAAAGATTATAAATACACTGAAAATATAATTATATAAATATTTCCCAATTCCTTGTAATTTAATGAAAAACTATATCTTGAAGAATGTTCGATAATTTCTCGAAATTATGATTATTTAATTATTATGGAAAAATTACAAAAGTTTGTTAATGAGTTCTATTAAAAATTGAATGCTAAGCCTGATGAATTTGCTATATGTAGAATTAGACTCAAATCATACCTCTAACAACTCAATTTTCAATATGGTGATAATATTTAAGAATAAGAAAATTAATATTTAAATTAATTGTCAGAAGAAAATGACTCTTATTTAAGTATTGAAAATGATAAAGGCATTACAGCTGAATATAATGAGATGAAGTATTTTAGAAAATTGGCTGAATTTATTAAAAAACTTAAAAAATAACATTTATAATCCAATTATTTACCCACTAATTCTCCATAAATTGGAAGATTATCTAGAGATAGATTATTAGAAATCCTAACTTAAGAAGTAAATGATTTAATCTGCATGTCTTAATTTATTCATCCTTATTCAGGAATACATTAATAATTGAAAATCATTGAATAATAAATCAATCTCTTAAAGCAAATTAAGTAATTTGAAGAGTAAGTCTAAATTAAATCTCCTTTAAATTAACCTAATAATATATCTAAAGAAATGGCAACTTTAATTTCAAATTAAGATGAAAATTTTATATAATAATTATAAAAAGAAGGTTTTCATATGACCAGAATAAGTTAAGTATTTTATTATTAAAGATACTTGTTATCTTATTTTTTGAGATCTGAACTTTTTGGTTTAGATTTACCTCCTGGTTTTGTTATTAGATTAACACTTACAAATAAACCAAAAAGATATTAATATTATTTTGTTACACAAATAAAAGAGGAATCTGAATTGAATATTAAAAAAAATGAATTTGCTAAACATTTTCTATCCCTTTTTGTTTCTGATCATTTGGATCATTTAGTTCCTAAATATTTTGGTAATTTACAAGCTTTTTATGGAAATGCTATGTAATCACAAATAACATAATATGAACAATTTAAAAATCCTTTATTTCATTTTAAAAAAGATATTTTTGAAGCATCTTATGATTTACAAGAATTCAATGAAATCAAACCAAAAGATATTTTTGAAGCGTTTCTTAAATTTCTTGATTTTCTTGCAGAAACACAAATATTTGATTTTAATTATCATTCTAAAACAAATCAAGATAGAATAAAATCAATGTAAATTAGTGAAGAAGTTATTTCAATTACTTATAAAAGAATGAAAAAGATGGAAGATACATTTATTTACATTTAAGAAGTAATATTTCCTTAACATTATAATGTAAGATTAATATAAATTACTCAATTATTGAATCCTTTGTTTTTTTAATTTATGCGTTTGGAGACAAGTAAATTATAAAGATTAACTGATTATGAAGATTTTATTAATAAATTAAATTTAGAAGAAGTTATGCATAAATTAGTTGATGGATATTTACTAATAAAATATAATAATTAATTAAGAGAATTAAAATAGGAAGTAGATAAATAAAATAAATAAGTTTTAAAATCACCATCATTTACAATAATTGAGTTTTTCTAAAAATTGAATATTAATTATGATATTAGTTTAATTAATAGAATTAAATTAATAGATTATTTGGCATATACAAACTTTTATAATTTAGATACTTAATTTAAAAATCATTAAGATGAAATATATGATTCAGTAATCAAAAATTTTAATAAATCATGGTTTGATTATGAATTATGGAAATAAGCATTTTAAGCAAATTATTAATATGCATAATCAAGTTCATAATTTAAAAATACTTTTCTTGTTGAATTATTAGCTATTTAATTTTTAGGTAATAAATTTTAAGAATTAAATTTAAATTTATTTGAATCAATATCAGAAATAGATTAAACTGATGAAAAATGTAATAAAATTATATTATATTTGATGAATAAGAAATTACATAATATTGTTGGTTTAGGATAACTTTCAATTGCTGAAAGTTCTCTTAAACATAAAAAATTTAATTTATTTTTGAAATTGTTATCAATAGAAAATAATAGAAAAATAAGAAATAATTTTTTTGATTATTTATTAGAAGATGATAATTAATTATAAAAATATCATAATTAAATATTTGAAGGTGTTGAAAAATATTATCCACATTTATTAGGAAGTTTATAATGGAATTATTTTTGGACTCAAATGACAAAATAAAGTGGATAATATGAATTTTAAATATTATATAAAGGATCAGTCTATTTTACAAATTAATAATATGAATGTATTTTCAATAATAATCTTTTGGATAATAGATAAGATTTACCAAATTATTTAGAAGTCAATTTAAATACAATTATTAATTAAAATTTTGATAAACATTTTGCATTACTTAATTTGAAAGATAATTCATTATTATTTATGTAACCTAATTTTCCACTTTAAAAATATATGGCAATATCACTTTATAAATTGATATAATTAGATTAATTTATATCTAAAGTAGAATTGGCAACTCATAAAGGTTAAATTTATTCAATTTATGAAGTGATCAATACAATGATAGAAGGATAAAGGATTAGATTTACAATAGCATAATATATGTTACATCATCATTTTAATGAATAAAATTTAATAAACAAAATAGGTTCCTAAAATTTAGCATATAAGATTTTATTGAGTATACTTTTATTACAAACTAATATTACTCCTGATTAAGAGTTATTAGTACCTTGTGGTAATTACTTTTCTCCTGTTACAACAAATATTTATTTTGATCCAAAACATGATAATTTAATTAATATTTGTGGATTTGAAAGAGAAGGTGATAAAATAAATTTATGTTGTAAAAACATATATTTTCTTACATAATTTATGAATGAAAAGATAGATCCAAAATATTTAAGTGTATTTTCAAATTTAACAATTATTTTATAATAATGGTTAAAATAATTAAGTTAACTTGATTTAAAGGTAGATAAAACATAATCTATATTAATTTTACCACTTAATAAAGAAAATATGATTGCATTAATACATCGTGCAACTTTGATATAATAAGCTAAATAAAATATTACTTATTTAGATTTACTTAAATAATGTGATCCAAATTTAGGAGAATATTATTAAACTCTTATTAACAATAGTACATTAAATTTAATATAAAAATTTAATGAACTTTCAAGTACTTTACCAATTTGTTTAACTAGACAAGATTTTATATCTTTTAGAGAAAGTTTTTCATTTGCTAAATATCCTTCTAGTTTTTAATTAAAGAATTCTATTGGACCATCAAAAGGTTTGAAAATGGTTTTAAAGTATACAAGACTATTAACAGAAGTAGAAGATTTTAATAAAAAATTATAAATAATAAAAAAACCAAATCATTTTTAATTATTAATAAATTCAATTGATTGGAGAAATTTGAAAGAATCTTAAGTATCATTAATGTTAGAAAATATATAAAAATATTCATAAGATTATAATTAACCTTTTGAATATATAAATTTTAGTTGTTTATAATATAGATAATTTTAATAAATATTTATGTAATTTGAATTAATTAGAATAAAGATTTTAAATATTTCATATATAGATACAATAACAGATAATTTTATTAATGAAATTTGTTATAAATGTAGTGAATTACATGTTTTAAATATAAGTGGTTGTTCTGGATTGATTTAATTGGGAGCATAAAAGAAATTGTAATTTTTAAGATTGAAAACACTATTAGCTTCAGAGATACCAAATTTAAAATCAATTGAAATGAGTGGATAATTTTTATAGAATTTAAATATTAATAATTGTCCATAATTAACATAAGTTTATACTATTAATTAATTAAATAAGATATAAGCAAAAGGTTGTAAATAATTATAATAAGAAATAGTTGAAATGTGGATGTTATAAGGAATATAAGTAATATTTGATGATATTACATCAAATGGAGCTTTTAAATAATTAGCAAATAAAAAAATAATAAAAGTTAATGAAGAGGAATCATCATTTTAAAAAACTTATGTTGAAATAATGTTTTAGTTATTAGGTGATATTTATGAAAAATTTTTATTTACTGATTAAACTTCAAGATCACCATTACCAACATATTTAGTAAAAAGTGGAATTGTTATTGAAGATTAACAAAGTTAATTTTTAACATTTTTATCAAAATAACTTGATGAAAAAAGTAAGAAAGTTTACATTTTTGGAATATTTCAATGTTTATTTAAGAATTAATTTATTAATACTTTAGAATTATAATCTTTGATTTCTCATAAAAGTGAAGATAAACGAAAATTCTTAGATTAATTTTTAGTTGATTTATCTTAAATAATTGAGAGTAGTATAGGTAGAGAATAATTTTTAGTAAATTAAACAGTGAAATAATTCTTATAGAATATAGAATGGATAACAATACCTAGTGCTAGTGAATCTGTATTAGAAAAAATAATATAATTGTTATAATAGATTTCTTATTATAAATAATTTATAAAAGTGAGTTTTGCTAATTTAAAAATGATTAAAAGTTAAATAATTGAAAAGTATCTCTCAAATTTAAAATAATCAGATAAATATTTACATTTTCCATCTTTAGATTTTTCAGGAAATAGTTTAACTGTAGATAATTTAAATGAAATATTTAATGAAAGTACATTTAGTGTAATTAATATTTAACATTTAAATTTGAGTAATGCAGGAATAGATGATAATATGTTAATATCAATAAGTAAATAATTTTGGGAATGTGAAAATTTGAGATATATTGATTTAAGTAGAAATTAAATAACAAATTAAGGTTTAAATCATTTATTTGAATAAGCAATATAAGATAAAATTGTTAAAACTCCTTTGAATTCTTTGAATTTAAGTCATAATAATATTGGTAATGCTTAATTTGAATTACTATCAAAATTAGAATAGTAATAATGGTAAAATAAAGAAAATTAAATGATTTATTTGAAGAATTTAACATTATAAAATTGTTTTTAAATAGATTAAGATATTA